GTGCACACCTTAGCAAGCACTGGAGCACTGATATGATAGACAAGGCGGAGAGTGAACATCGTGAACTGCTGCTTGTTTACGGGAGTGAGCTGAATGTGAAGGAGGTCATTGACTGTCAGAGCAAAAAGACTTTCTTTAGCAGGGCATGCCAGATTTTAGTAACACTATGTTAACTGCATGTCTTTAATGAAATGTAATTATTCAAAAAAATTTGTGATAAAATTCTTTAAATATATTCTTATGATGAAAATATAAACAACAAGGTGAAGACAGTGATAATCCATTGTGACTTGTGGTAGATTTTGCATTAACCTATTACCATATGTGCATAGTATACCAGAATTATTTTAAAATACAAGTCGATGAATATTGAAGTTCATTCTTCTAGTTCTGTGGAAGTTGCTTACGGTAAACTCAAAAACTAGTCGATGTCTAACTAGTCTCCAATGTTATCCAAGAGGAATGGATAACTTTGGAGACTCACTCAACTGGCCTTCTAGAACCAAGTGAACACAAGAAATTCCATTTACTATTGGCTTTGACTATTGGCTTTGACTTGTGATAGTAAAAGACACAACAATCTTTCGTGTTAAACGGGGTGTCAAATATCTTTAGGATAATTGGTCAGGCCTCGACATTATGATATCCTTGGCCGACACCAATCCTTCGACGATAGCACAAACCCAGCTCTACCAATGTGAAGCCTAATGGCATCCAGAATGACATCATCTTCCGACTCGAGGAAAACCACCAGAAAATAACCTCCACATCGATGAAATAACTGGACGAATTCGCGGGCAGAAAAATATACAAGAATCACCAGATCCGCGTACGACAACAAATCCTCGAGGCAAATAATTACTTAGTCGCTGGGCGTAAGGGAATGCAATTTGTCGCTTGACGGCCTCCCTTGTGCTTGATCCCGCGCGGCGGCCACAGAGCACGCTCTCCCGCGTCCCGCGTCCCGCCCGCCATACAGGGAGTTCAATACGCTTTCGCTCTCCACGGGTCAGTGTCTTTCCAACCAGTTTCCGATCACCAATGACCAAGCATGTCTACCACTATCCTGCATGAACTAGTTCTATTTAATGTAATGCATATGATATTTAACTAGAGACCGTAGTATCACGTATATCCGCGGTGTTATGCACGATATTTGCGTAGATAACATAACAACTAATGTTTCAAGCTATTGTTAGGAGCTCTGAACTTTGTTGGACCGCGACAAATTAAACTGACTATTGGTTACAATATATGTGTCTTGTAGGTGAGATCTGAACTATTTATTGTGATATATATTTCATGCTCTTGTGTGTTTTTTTATCAACTTGTGTGTTCTAGAGAATTCAACAAGTTTGGGTTTTTCTCAATCTACAGAAAATACTGCTTGTTCTATAGCACATCATATATCAACATAAATATAAATCTTCTTAACATGTATTATGCATTTCAATTAAGTTTTAGTTCAGTCACATTAGGATTTCACTATCACCGGACATGCCGTTGAATGTAAATTACAAACCATCTGGAATTAAGTTGAAAATGAAAAATAAGATATGTATTATAATAAAAATCTGACACCGAAATCCACTCTTAAATCCAATCTTATCATCAATGTGATGTACATAGTAATTGTATGTATGTATGTATGAATAATTTCATCTCAAATAACTCATGATATGTTCTTCATCTCTCGTGGAGAATGAACAAGGTAGAGGACCTAAAATCAAATGTTAATATCCAAATAAGCTGGATAATACGATATACATCAAAATGGGGACACATGAAAAAAATACGCCTAACGAAATCATCGATGGCAATAAGAACAGTGCGAACAAAGGCAAGACTTACTCGACACACGAGATCCCTTTTATTTTATTTTAAAAAGTCGTCATTTCTCCCTAGTGCAGGTCACATATCTATACGTAACCATGAGTACAATGAAATCAAACCAGGTCAAAACAAGCATCAACAGAATGATATAATAACGATCTCAATAGTATGAAAAGATAGCTCCAGAATAATTACTCACAAACGCGAGATTAGCTCTTGAGCGGCGTATTTACCACATTTTGGGCGTGGCCGGCCACATACAAGATGACCCACCACATCGCGGCTCGTCTTCGAAGCCGACGACGTCGAGCTCCCAACTCGTGCTTTGCTCGACTGTGAACAACGTCGGGTCGGATGACGTGGCCGCCTCCGTCCGAGTCATCCGGCTCCTCTTCACGTCACCCGAGCTATTATGTCTCTTCTGCGGGCCAAGCGACCAACAGCAACGAGAGCATCCAATTCGCGCCGTCCACGATATCTGCGTCTGCTTTGGGCATTGGAGGAGGAGTCAAGACCGGATAGCCCTGGAAGGCGAAGGTCGCGCCTTCCTCTTCCTCTTGTACCTACTGCAGGCGCGACATAACTCCCCGGCGGTCGGTCGGTCGCAATCGGCATTCATTCACCACTCAAACCAACTTTCCGGTGGTAGACGCAGGAAGGCAAGTATCGCACCACTTGGCGACCTCCATTTTCGCGCCGAGTGTCATCACGACTGACGCGTGATATCGCGAACAACAACGCACGGCTTCTAAAATTCGCAAGAGTCCGGGAAAGGAAGAAGAGGTAGAACCGGATCGTGCTCTTAGGACGCGATCCGAGTCACTGACTCTCATTACAGTATTACTGTGCGACCCTCCCATTTGAGTAAAATATCGCTGCAAAAAATTACGGTAGCCTCACACTTAATTACGTATTTTATTATAAAATTTCTAATTATTTCAATGTAACAAATCATGACTTGTAGTAAGGAGGAGGTTTTGAATTTTTCCATCGGTACTTTGAACGGGACATATTGATTGTCTTTTGATTTATGGAACAAAGACTTTGTTCGATCATTTCCATAAAGTTTTCACGTCCATCCATGACTTCGCTTGATTGAAATAAGAAACACTGTGGGTTTTTAATACACGCCGAATCTTTTGGTTTACCAATCATCATTCAAGAATTTTATATGTTCCAAATGCGTTATTTGGAAACTTATTGGTTATATTGGTACTTATTGGTTATATTGGTTATAATAATAATTATAACCAATATTTTGTTTTTTGTTTTTCCTATAGTGCTTGAAATGTTCGGCATTAGACTAGAAAATCTGGAAAGTAGACCAAAAACAATCCAGTCTTGTCTATGCTATAGACGTTTCCAGGGTCGTATTGAGCAAAGCCAGCCAAGTGACCAGACAAGTTCTCGATGGGCCCTTGCCAATGACAATAGCGTTAGTCCTGAAGGCTTGTAACCGAGTAGTCGTTAGTCTATGGAAAGTTGGAGCTTCGAGATTGTCTTCTTTACATCATGTGAGTACGATGAAACCTCCGTCGCACAAGACCATTCGGGAACAATGTTATGTCTTCATCGTCAAACCAAACGGTGCCAACGGAAAACGGAGGATTCATGGAAGAAGCTGCTCCAAAAATTGACAGCTTGCATGGGCAACAATTGGAACATTTGAAGAAACTCACCGCAAGTACTCAGCACGCCACCGAGCTTGCGCGGGGGGCATCCGAGACGGAGTGGTGCCGTCATTGCAGTCGGTGGAGATACGACGCTTCATGAAGTGCTCAATGGCTTTTTTCAAAAATGGGAAGCCGATCGAATCTAAACTCGTGGATTCATTACCTGCGCAGAAAACAATTCTCAGGCTTATATTCATGGGCTTTGGGCTTCGACTTTGCTCAAGTTTTTGGCTGGAATAGTGACCCCATTAGAGCCATAGATCGGGTATGTAGTGATCGGCTTCCGATGACAATAGCGTGAGCAATAGTCTCAAAGTTAACTCGGATTATAATAGCTCCCGGTTCTTGACGAAACTCGAAACTAAATTGATAACACATACTTGGCTAATTATCCCTCACCCTCGTAAGCACCTATTAACTATTCATGCAAAGCTGAATATTATCCATGCTATGTGTTTCAAAAGGGATATTCAACTGTCTATGCACTCAAGATGTGATCAAAGATCTAGTAAAATATTTGAGATTGATGGAATCAATCTGAAAAAAATGAAGCAGATTTAAAACTACAAGGTAATTGTAGGTGTGAGTAATTAAAAAGTTAATCCCCATTTGTTAGTTCATCGATGCTTTACAGAAGTATATCACTGAAGGCCCGAACGGTATGACTGTGAATTATTGATAGTTTTCTAACCTCACTCTAGAGATTATCTTGTACAGAAAAGATAAAGAGAAGAATCAGCGGAGCTCAAGAGCAAGAACCTACTTATGGCATTTTGATAATGCACTGTACCATAATAAATGAAAGTTGTACTTTAACAAGAAAAAACTGAACATTGTTGATAATGGGTTCCCCAAATGTCCATGTCTATGGCAGTTACATCATCGATAGAACTTCATATTTATGAGTATAATGAAATTTAACATTTGGTAAAATTGAAGATAAAGCTTTTAAATTTTCTAGAAAAACAGATTCTATTTTAGTCTATTAATCCAATTTATTCATTTTATTTTAATCTAATTTTTTTATATTTTATTCATTTTAGTCTATTATTTTATTTTATTGATCTATTTAGAAAAATAAATTCTACAAATTACGTCGGGAAGTTAAATTGTACATTATATAACATGTAATTCTCCTTTGCGGAGAACAGGAAACCACTTGCTAATTATTGATAATTAGCAACAATTATATAATAAGTAGCATACAATTATACTTAATATGCTGAACATGCTTGGTTAACATTTCGCTTGTGCACGCTATTTGGAGAACAAGTGCCACCGCATATTTCCAAGCCTTGCGAGAGCAGATTCACGACATTCTCAAACCCGGCGTCAGATCAGACAGACAAGGGCGGTGGCAGCAGCACGACGCGACGTCGCGAAGCAAGTCGCGACTCTACCGGCCAGCCGGAAGAGACCGGCAGAAAAACCTCGACACATTCCATGACGTCGCGTTCCTCGAGCTGACGTTCGAGGGCGAGTACTTCTCGTACGCCGGTTGTACCTCGGGACTGCTCGAGTCTGGGAATTCGCGCCATGGTAAGAACACTACAACGGAAGAAACAGATTTGGAGAAGATGCACGCTGTCAAAGGACTCAAATGCATTGGGCCAATCCGTGGACGTCATCGAGGTCAGTATGTCGATTTGAGCAGCTAGTAGGCCGCCCAGCCGAGCTCAAACTCGTGGACCCTTTTCACGTGTTCGGGAGTCCATGTGTTCCGAGCACTACTGCCAAAACCCAGAATCAGATAAACGGAGAGCACTTCTTCTTTGCCGCTTTCCTTTTCAATTTCTTTCAATCGACCTCGAGGATATTTTTAGGGCTCTAATCTGCACGGGAAAGGCATAGCTGTAGGACGGTAGGACCCTTTTCTGGTAATAATATGATCACCTTTCACTGGTTTAGAGCATGTTTCAAAATGGAGACATTGGGAGTTTTACAGGCATCCCGGGGTCGGAACAGGTCTCGAATCGATCGGTCGATCGATGGCATTGCATCGCATCACCCGGCAGAGGGTGCCCTCAGGTGTTACCAGCGTAGGCTCCGCATATGATACCGGGATATAATATCATTGTGCACAACTCTTGTCAGCTATTCTAGCTACAGCAGCCAAGAACCTTCTCTCCCTCTTGATATTTCCTGTGACCGATTTATGACGAGTGCGGACTTAGCATCGGGCCTGGGCTCATGATGAGGGCTCGCCTTGTGTAGGCGAGCCGTCCCTCTCACTGTTGCATTGAGTAGAGCTCGGTTTATCTCCGAGGTGTCCATGGAGAATGAAGGGAGGACCAAGGGCCCAAGGGGATTGGATGAGATGAAGTTGTAAGTCAGAGTTCTTCCTGCGGAGGGATTTCCAGAAAAGTGCTGTTGTATTTTGAGGTATCGACAAGGCTTTACAGGTGGTGGAAGATGCGATCGCAACTGGTTGAAAAAGGTCTTTTTGTAGTTAGGGTTCGCAGGCGTGCAGTCATCCAAAGTTGCCGAGATAGACAAATATTGCATGCATTGAACCTATGCTGTTGTGAAACAGGAGCCGTCTGGAAATTTTCCTCGGGTGTGTGGGGAAATATGGTTGAGGGTACGCACCTTGACTCATCAATGGATATATGGAATATGGCTTTGCAGATGTGTCCAAAAAGGTGGTCGGTTGTAAATCCAAAAGCTCCCATGCTCGCAACAAACCCCACCGACCGCGTTTGCTCTGTCACTTGCCTTTCAGTGCCGTCAGCATCCCCGTCAAGGTCTCCCTTCTCCTCTTGAACAGTCACTTCATCTCTTCGAAGGCAAGAAACAGTCCACTGTGTCAAAGATCTTCAGAAGTCTACCGATTAGTGCAGTCTGTAGCAACATTTCCACCCCCAGACAGGGTGTGAACGAGCTGACTAGGACGCCGAAGTGTGTCGAGGTTTTTCTGGCATCAGTATCTGGTCCGGCGGGTCCAATTCATCCAATGCAATTCCTTGCTAGAGACGTCCGGTATCTTACCCATGGGTTAGTCCAGCACTTCGAGTCTGAGCAGTGAGGAAGGTATGCAGAAGTGACTTTTGCCAAATCAATGCTTGTCCGAAATCCCATGTTCTCACTGGATCCTTTATTTGCAAACAGGTAGTATTAGAGGAGCTGTTTCCGAGAGAGGTTTGTTTTTGGTTTGATTTTCCTTTTCTTGCTTCTGCCATCGTGCTTTTCGTTCCATGCAAATCTCCTGAATGCTGACTACCAATTCAATTGACTTCATAGTCTGACGATGTATGCAGCTGGATCTGAAGTAAATGTCACAGAACTTGCTAAGAGCTGGGATCATGAGAGAGCTCCTTGCAGTAGTTCTTAAGTACGGGGGATGAATGTTCGCTCGATGATATACAATCATGGAACCAGATGCCTCTGTTGCCGCTCCGCTGGTCTTCTTGTGAGTAGTACAGTAACCCGGAGCGTCGCTTTTCGTGCCCAAATCATGATTATGCACCTAGTGCTCCCTTTGCAGGTTTTCACATTATCCTCACATGTGATAGACCCGAATATGTTGAAGCCAAGAGGCTTTCGCTATATTTAACGAAAACATGCACCAAAGGTAATCCAGATAGCAAGCGATACATATTTTTGAGCTATTCTCTCTCTCTCTCTCTCACTTCTGTCCTTAAAGAGCACTAGGACGCAGTAGAGCACGGTATTCCATCCGCAGCATACAATAGCAGAACTGCTAAGGTTTGACATAGATTTCCAAAACAACTCTTCCTACTCCAGTCATATTGATGTAGTGCGATTTTGTTCCTGATCTCTTGTTCACCCGCCAGTGGGCCACTTATTCTTAAAGGAAAAACCGGGTTCAGAGAAATTTCGATGAGGAAGATTTATGTAAGCATCCTTGCACAGCCACCTTTTAAACTTTTCCTATCCTGTCTTGAAAGCGTTGCAACGCCTGTGGATCTCGAGGTTGCAGTTGTCGACTGTGTCAGAGATATTCTGAGCGATGGGTTGCGATACCCCGGACTGCAACCTTTGTTGAATCAAAGTTAGAACGAACTGTTCTGAAGTGCTAGTTGACTCAGTAATGGCTTAACATTGAGCTGTGATTAACATCCAGTCGTGTATTGTCACGTGAACTTCGATGCAAACACGTGAGGAATCATGACAATTCCATATGCACGACATTGACGGCGACAGGCGACAGGCGACAGGCGACATACAACTGATTGGCATTCGTGTTTCCGTCCCTGTCCCTTTCAAACATATCCAGAGAGTCCTTTTCTCATCTTTCTATCAATTTCTGAAACAAATTCAAGGTCTTCTGCAGACATTCAGCGCTAGACTCGATGTCAACTGAACGTGAAATGTGAGAGCTTGTAAAACATTCAATTGTCTCATTACAGGCCGTACAAGCAGCTGCAGTCTCGGTAGACAAGTGAATGGAGCTATTTGGTTCCCTAGTGATCACTTTGTTAGATGTTGAGTCGACACGTTGCTCGCAGAGAGCTTGCCTGAGTACACTCGATTTCGGCCTCGACTCAGAGCCCGAAATCTTGAATTGTCCCAATTTATCTTAGACTTACCCCGAGCCACTCGCCCAGCCTGAAGTCCAGGCTAAGAACAATCAGAATCTCCGTTTGGACGTGATGACATATGGAACGCGTGAGGAACCTAAGTCGTCCGGAAGGCGGATCTCACCTTTCGTGCCCAGCTTCTGCCTGTCTAACATAGCTTTCTCCGAGTAAGATCGACGACAGTCCAGAAATCGGCAGAAGCCCCCCTCCCTCGCACCACATGACTACGACCTGAGTGGCAGTCCTGAGCTGGTCAGGGTCTTCTAGTGCTACGCAGCAAGAAGATCCAATATTTAATGTTCTTCCGTAAACGCTTCAGGAATCTGCATGCTGTTATCTAGGACTTCACAGATTCGAGCAAAGAACGTTTCTATGGTATCCCAACCTTGTAAATTCGCAAGGGTTTCTCATGGGAATTGTAAAGACGCTTGGAGTGAATCTATGTGACTCACGTAGGTCACAGTCTGATCTGAGGTATTCTGCTATGGTTGTCATCACTTCATGCCCGCCATGCATCGTCTTTCGCCGTCTCAAGGTCACGCAGCCTTTTACTACATCGATAACCGATGTAGGTACCAAGAAGCACCATCGAGAATGACAGTGGATAGAACCCATCTAATACTACGTTACACTGACCCCCAGCGTCTGTACATGGATTGGCAGAACCTTTCTTGCTAGGACAAGTTAGGGATAATCCTCCATCCTCAGTGCTAGCTCCGACACATTTCTGTACAGTTAACCAATCGAGCAGAATGAAAACGAAAAATCTAGGCCATGCTGATCCAAGGTTCGCAATCGTATTGAGCAGAGTAAGGTACGTGCCTCCCATGGAAGAGTCACTGATCCGAGCGAAGAAAGTCCCCTGATGCAAAAAATAGTGCAACAGTCATTGGCATATAACGGAGACATACTTTTCCTATGATTCATCTGCACCCACAAGCATCACGAATCTACAGCTCTCGAGGAGCTGGGTCTAGAAGCAAAGCTTAAAATATCAGTCACAACAGGGATAACTTTGAAAACGAGCAGTCAGCTGCTGTGAAGACTGACCAGAGCAAAGCTCTGTACGTTTACCTGAGAAACAAACATGATGGTTGATGCGAAAGACGTGAGAATTCCCGAGAAAATGATCATGAAGTAGAAAAATGGTGCAGAAGTCATGGTTGCACCGACTGGAAAGAAGGCCACCAAGCATGTGGACACAGCTGCCATACCCAAACGCATGTAGTAGCCCATCAACCAGGGTGAAAATGGCCGCCCTCTACTTGCCCATCTTCCAGCAAACACCGCAAACAGAAGCTCCAGAGGAAACTCAATAAGAACTACAAGCGATACCATTTCCTGCATGCAAACAAACCAATTCGACTTCAGGAAGACCCGAAGATCTAAGAGCTTGGAGCTTAGACCTTTCCTTGATCATGGCCAGCTGATATACTGCCAGTTGAGATTTGCTTCCATGTCCCAAATATATCTAAAACGTCCACGGCATAATCGTTTGCTAGACAGAAGAAAGGTACGAAGATCATACTCGAGTCACGCCCTTCTCCATGAGCTTGAACACCCCAACAGTCTCCGCCGTTACGCTACCCAGCTAAACAAAATTTGCAATAAGACTCGTCAGTATAGATTTACGTTCCTAGTACAACTGTCTGATATTTTCCACATCTAAATGAGTAGGCTACAGATGAATACATTCTTCCCACAAACTCTCAGGTTCCAAACACTTTCTTGACTCTTACGAGCATTGCCAAAGCGCGTAGGCTACGTTCTTCAGGCTATATCATGCAAGTACTAAAGAGTATAAATTAAGGAGAATTGAATTCAAAACTCCTAATAAGAGCATCCTAAGAAAGGTAAATGTATCATAACAACTCAATCACATATTTCCCGAAACTGTTAAGAAGTCTTGGAATTCAAGTACTGCACTAAGCATCTTCAATTTGTCTCAATGTAAGCATCATTCGAAATAGTTCCAGGAAGGTTAGAAAAGCGATTATAGTGTCATACCTTACATATTAGTAATATGGTTGTGAGCGTACGTATATCTGTGCATAAAGTTAAGGACCAGTTACTGACAGAGATGACATTGACAGCTGAAAACAATTAAATAAGGAGGGAGAGAAGACAGTTGATGCTACGAAGTATATAAGAAAGAGCTACTACGCGTTCCGATTAGTGAAGTTAGGATGAAGTAATTGAGGTCAGGATACTGGGTAGAGTAACAACTGCCCAAAGTCTTCGATACATTCGTTTCACACCCATCTGTCTGATGGTCCCAGCGACTCTATCATCTAAACTACCGTGTCCAAAGGTCAATTTGAATCCGTCCTTCCTCCTTTCGGTAACTCCCGTTTTTTTCTCCTCAAAACTAGATATACGAATCCCGTTATCTTCAAATATTCCTTGGCCTTGAAATGCCCCATTTTCAATTCCGTCTACTGGCTTGTACGTGTCGTCGTATCGTGGTTCCAAGTTGTTGATTTGTGTGTCAGATCCGTGATTAGAATTACTGATATGCGTGTTGTGAAAAGGTTTCTCCGATTTATACAATAGTAGGACAGTTGTCACAACATAGAACCATCCCCAGAAGTAGAAGTAATTTGAAAGTGAGAGAAATCCTGGATTGAGGCAGCACATCAAAATGTTAGACAAGTTCAATACGATCAATAATCTCATCTCTTGTTCGTCAACCAAAACGCCTAAAACAGCAAAGCAAGAACCATGGCAAGCACCTTTTGGGTTGGGGGATTTTCGAAGATAGTTGTTGCAAAAGCCCGCATCATTTAAAGCCAAAAATATTGTGAATGACATGAAGTATCCACTATTTATTCCTATAGTCTGCAAATGTCAAAAATTGTTCCGATGAGTACTTCAGTCAATTCATTCTTCTTCCTATGTCCTCAACCTCATAAGCTTCAGAAGTGAGTACATCAAAAATTTTAAAAGGTGATGGGGTTTTAGAAAGTGTATAAGAACTAAGGAATTTGCAGCCGGAGAACAACAACAGCAAAATTAATAAATTGTATAACCACCTGACAGGTTGAAGCGTGACCGATATTTTTTCGTGACAGCAGCGTCAATGCCCAGCCTGCACACATAACCTAGCTTACGTCAGCAGGATTGGGAGAGTTGGAACTTGGAGGGAGCAAACCTTTCACTACAGCTAGTGTGCCCAAGTCAGTGAAACCATGAACTCTTAAGTTGCCTGTCACGAGCAAGTGTTGTCAAGTCCTGAACAAAAAAGCAGTCTACAGGGACTTCCACACTTTTTTGGGTCTGAAGCTAAAAGCTAACTTGTTTTTATTTTCAATGAACTCTGAGAGTTTTGGTAAATATGCCTTACCATCCACTGCTATGTCCTGCAAGGAAGATCACGAAGAAAAGTGTAAGAAAGGGATCTGTTCCATGCAAATTTGGCCGATAAATGAGAGACAAGGTGCCAAGCGCACACAAGTACCTTTCTACTAGTTTGAAAGAAGAGCTAAACTACCCTAGTTACCAAATGATGATCCACTGAGAGATCAACGAGATGTAGAGGACTAAACCCTGCCGGTGCCTAAAAAATGATCACATACAATAGAAAAGGGTCTATAAAGAGCTACGGAGGATAGCCGAAGTTGAATTTCTCTCCTGTTGGAATACCTTCTCCTGTAAGTCCGAGAAGGAACCCCAAAGGACTGTATATTTCAATGAGAATTTGTATTTAGTAGATGCTAGTGACTGAGGTGGAGAGGAGTAGGAACCATTAAGTATCAGGAAGAGTGGAGAAGGGAGCTATCCTAGAGGGACGAAGATCTCTCATAGTGAAAGTGATATAATTTTGGTGATAAATCTGGAGCAGTCCTTTTGAGGGTCAACCGGGAATCTACTTAGCACATCATCCACCTTGTTTGTTTCGAGCCTCCGATTTTGACCTTCGACTTTCAATCTAGGCTAATGTACAAGAAGTTATTTTCATCTTGTAACCAGTGTGGCAGAAGCTCTGCACGAAACACCTACTGGTGTTCATCTCTTCCCCAAACGGTGTGGAAGTTAACCTCACCCCATTTGTGGAAGAGCTTGAAATACCTGAAGGCCTTACAGGGTGCGTCTTGGCTGGATGGTGGTTGTGACAGAGACAAGCGGGGACAGGAGCAAGACGAGGGAGGGTGTTAGTGACAGAGGAAGATGAAAAGTTAGAACGCGAGGAATGAAGAATGAGAAGGGAAGGTAAAAGAAGAAATCGGAAAATATAAGATCCAGGAGAAAACAGCCTATGCATGATTCATTCTCAACCGTGAAAAGGGCAACCATCTTAACAGAAGCATATCACCGCTAGTTACGCAATTGAGTCTTCATTCTGAAGTTCGCACACATTATCAGCTTACCTGTGTTGCTGCCAGGAGAACAAAAATGAAGAAGAGGAAGGTGATGGATCGAATATTTGCTGTCTCCAACTACAACCAAAGGCTCCACGTAAGCGGCTTGAAATATATTGGCAAAAAAACTGAAAAATAAAATGAGACAGATGACCAATAAAGAAGAGTAGATCAAAGGCCAAAGAAAGAGGTCAGATGTTCATAACATTCTCCTATAATCTGCTGCTTTCAAAGGTTAGAGACTCGCTCGTTACTAATTAAGATCCCAGTGATAAACAAGAGTGATTTTTCTGAAATTGGAAAAGAAACTCGAATACAAAGAAGACTTCGTCCATACCCAATGATCCGCGGTTTCAGCCGATAAAATCATGAGAAGTCCAGAAGCCATCTGCATAGGGAGAACCCTGAGTGTAATGCGCTAAAGTTTAGTCTTCATCCTTCGTCCAAGTCCCATAAGTATAAGCAGATAGAGAGGGAGACATATGGTAACTACTGATCATATACTACAATTAAGAAGAAAATGGGAAAGAAGGGTACTGATTACAATAATTAAGAATGTCCCAGATGCTCCGCCATGGCTTCGAGAGGAAGCTAGGATGAACTCCTTTCTCAACACCAAAGTTGGACATCAACGGGAAGAATGATAAACTTTGAAAACTCTGAGATACATATGCCCCCAATACCGCATTAACGGCCAACATGAGGGTTCATAACTACAGGCTAAAATATGAAGAAGAGACACTTACCAGGACTTACGCCATCCCAGCCTTGCTGAAAAGACTGTGTCGACTATAGGACTCCACAGAAGCTTCAAGGAGTATGGGTATCCAGCCAGTGAAAAAATTCTGTAATCAATCCACATAAAAGCAATATGGCTCACATGATAGACAGCAAATTCTTGACAAGTGATGGGGAATTCCGACCTTGGCACTCGAATTCACTGCTACAAATGTAAATGAAGTCACTGACGCAAGTAACTCAACTACGCGTGGCACTTACCCGACCTCGGTATAGCTTGCTTGAGATTTCAATATAAAAGGTATGCTCCCAAGAGACAAGCCCAACGGCACACCCTGCATTGCATCTGCATTTTGATGTCATCAGACTATGGATGGGTGTGAAATAAAAACCATTACATGCTGGAACCTGTAATTACGCCCACTGCACGTTCTGTCACAATGCTTTATAGTAACGAAGCTGTGTGCAATACTCGATCTTCATAGCTCTACAAATTCTAACTACTAACACTCGCGTTCAAGGAGGTACGCGAGTAACCCGGCTTGGTTTATGTCTTGCGCGACATGCAAGGTCCCAAGTTCCTTCACGGGTTTCGGTCACTGACAAACTCTTCCCATTTAGCTCAAAAAATTTCCCCACTCGGATCGCAGCACTCCCAGATTCAGAAGTTTGTCAAACTCGCACTGCACGTTCATGTTGCTCGTACGCTTACAGAAAATTCAACTTCGTAGCGTATATTTAGAGGGTTTAAGGGATTTCTTATGATGCCATTGAAGATAAAGCATGCTGCCTAGTAGACTTCAACCTCTGACGAGAGTGTGTTCAAGTTACACCGAAGACTTTACTAAGACCACACTTACGCTCCAAATCAACGTCAAGGTGGGTTCGATACATTAGAAATTTCGTCACCAAATCGTCGAGCATATGACTTCAGGAAAAAACCACTCAGGTCGAATCAATTCAACCAAAAAGTATGAGAATTTCGATTGTAATTATTGTTGTGTTATTATGATAAGAGCGAGGAGACGATCCCAAGGAGCCAAGGAACCGAGCCGGCTCACTTTCAAAAAAATTGCCTTCCAAAATCAGCAAGACCATCGTGTCGAGGCCCAGATAGTTTTCCTAATTCCGTTGGCGATACGTAGTCTGGAGAGGGGCACCAAAAAAAACCCAGAAACAATCTTCAACCGTATGCACGCGAACACACAACTCCTCACTCGATTAACCCACTAGTTTGAAGTAAGGCGATCGAGATAGTGCAATTATCAGAAGTTATCAACGATCGGCAATTCTTGGCATGTTGCTGTTTCTGATGGCGACAATTTCTCTCTAAACATGCACTTCCAGCTTGCCTGACTGTGAACTTCCCTCGACAGCTGCGGTTGTGCCACGCTCCAAGAAACAGAGAACTGGGAAAATCCGGGGAGTCTGATTCCCTTTAGATGCAATTCGAGTGCGAGCTGTATGGAGACAGTTACGAATAATTCTTCTTTACCACGACTCGACCCACTCAGTAGATGTCAAGGGAAAGGAAGGGAAGAGAAGGGAAGAGAAGGGAGGGGTAGTATTGAGCACGAACATAGCATGATAAGCAGAGCCATGTTAAAAGTGTCCGAGACAGAGCTACTCGGAGACGTGCTATGATCCCACTCTGAGCTGCTGCTGGTGCTCAGGAATGGGGAGCCTTCCTCCATTCCCATCATCTGCTGCGAGCTTCGAGATCTCTTGTGCATATTTACAGCTTCGTTCTTCTGCTCTGCTCCTCCTCCTCCTCCTCCTCTTCAACGAACTCCGGCCAAATTCAACCACCCTGCCCTCCAACAACCTCGCGCTCCGGCCCAACAACAATCGACCGTCGGCAATTTCCACAGCAAAAGTCCACCCCTGCCGGCCTTCGATCTCCCGCGTGCCTGACAAGAAGAAAACACAACTTCCGTCTCCTCTCATGTCCCACAGATCTCCTTTCCTCCTCGTCCTTTCCTCCTGCACTCAGTCCTCTCCCTCCCTCCGCGATCTTACTCCTCCGATTAGATTCCTCCCTGCGCCTCCTCCTCCTCCTCATCCCCGATCCGCCCCAGACATGGCCGGCCCCCGACCCGATCGAATTTCCTCCTCCCCTGTTTCTACACGAGCAGCTCCTCCTCCCTTCCCTTCCCTTCTCTCTCTCTCTCTCTCTCTGTTCTGCCTCCCGCTGCCCTGCGCCTCTCTCTGCTCCTCTCGGCCGAGCACCACGGCGCCTCCCTTACCACGTACGCTCCGCTCGCCGGTCCGGGCCGACCACGCCGCTGTCACCATTCTGTCGCGGTCGCGGTCTTCCCTTCTTGTCTGCACCCTCTTCACTACGCTCCCGATCTGGTTACTCCTCCTCTCCGACATGATTCACAGCGTCCCTAAATTTAGCCGCCTGAGGCTAAATTACTTCCGGTGGCTAAATTTAGGGACGCTGTGAATCGGGAATCTTATCGAGTTTATCACCAGGAGGAAGATGGTCATATCCCGTCAAGATCGGGACGAGGATGTGACCGGGGGCTATCCCCCAAAGTTATCATCCTAAAATACACCACCTCTTGCATATCATCTAAAATGATCAATTTATGGAAGTAAAGTACTCTAAAAACATCTAAAACTTGCTTTCATGCGTATAAATATAGTTGTTATTCTCTATACAGAAATAAACTTAAAAAATTTGACTCACACTATTCGGAAAGGAAGGGACACCCCTTCTCTTAGTGTTGTATACTCTTGTGCACATTTTTGCAAAATTATACAAGTCCTCGTCCATATAATATCAAAGAGTAGCGCTTTTTGTTTCCCCACGTATTTTCTCTATCCATTTGCATATGTAATCAAACTCTTTGACATGATGTCGTGTATAGAGTTGGGGATCATCGAGCCTTGCATCATTACATATCTATACTCGGTTTCTGCTCTTCCATGTGAAGTTTACGCTCTCAAGTGGCATCGTCAAGACCACATCTCCAGTGCAATTATGGACACTTATCCTCTGCTCTCATCTCATCATGTGAACACGTATCTTAAATTGCAGTGTGCTCATATCTTAAGGGCCGTGCTATTTGAGCATCACACTAGGAAGCAATGAAGATGTATGTTCATATACGAACCCAAGGAGAGACCTCACCACCAAAAATGAATGTTATTTATGGTGTTGAGGTTAACTCCAATTAAGGAGTACTCTTGGGTACTAATTATTTATAGCTAGGGATAAATACCTTGGGGTTTGCTTCGTATATTGTGTCTTTCTGTCAATATTTGAAGTAAAGTGTGAGAGTTTTGGGTGGACGCAACCTTCGTCCTGAGAGTGAACAACGATATTTTTGTGTTGTCGAGGATGAACCACATTATTTTTTTATTGTCGTGTACAATCCAATAAAGACATGCACACTGGTGTTTAGTGCTAGGAACAATCTATTTTTGGTTCGTGATAAAGCTTTGTTGTTCATTACATTTCTTTGAAGTGGAAGTACATATGAAATCTGTCGATTCAAGTGTCGGTATACTGTATGCTGTTATACGGGAACTGACTTTGTCAAGGTTCTAGTAGCGGACTGTTATTTTTTTTTCTGCTGTTTGAGGTCTTCTTACTGGTCTTGAGTCCCTTACTACTATGAAGGTTAAATTGCAAAATGTAAGGTGATTATAAAACAGCAGGGTCGGATCTCCTCACAGCAGAAAATATTCGGACCCAAAGATATTCTAGATACGATCAAAGTCTGGAAAGATATTTTCATTGACAAAAGCAGAATTGCATTGTCTTACGAAATGGTAATTTTGATTGGTCTTGAATGTTTATACCTATAGGCTCCATCCCATCAGATAAAGAATCGGGGTTCTTCCAACACTGCAGGTGTATGGAACCGTTCTTTATAAGTCACAAAGCTAGAAGTTTTTCTTATAAAACAAAATTATTTTATAATAAAATCTTTGACATGTCATCCTTTGCTTTTATTTGCCTGCCACTTAAAAATTTATAACCAAGCATACCATTGCAACAAGATGTTTTGTATTTTTTTGACACAAAATCCTGCGGGTTGTGTATTCGGAACCACCAGGATTACTTGGACTAAAATTTAGCATCTTTGTGCGAACTGTCACTCCAAGGCTATCACAAAATGTACCCTACTTTTGTATTTTGGGAATATTATCTTGTCATTCATTTATTTGAGTTTTTCGAGTGCCCTGGTGCAGGTCTGATCTGGAACTCCGTACTTTGGGGTGATGTTCTGGAAATAGCAGACTGCAGAGGTGAAAACAACAATCTTATCACCTGGGCTGGAGCAAACAGTACTCTTCAATAGTACGTTTATAGAGCAGCAGTATATACATGAACTGTGCTATTTCTACCCATGATCCAAAATGGTTGCACATATTCCGTGTTTTCTTCCAGAAAGAAAAGAAGTAAAAAAAGTACGTTTTTCTATTTACGTTCTTCTTGCCAAAAGATGCCCAAAACCTTTTGAAAGCAAGAGGTACATGAGCCTGAATCTTGATTATTCATACTGAGATGAAACATCACTTGTTTCAGCTGTGTTGAACAAACACTTCATTCCAAGATCTACTCAGGCGGAAATAAATAAATAAATTTATTTATTTATCATCATAAGATCGAACGTGTTTTCCCGCAATGCTATTTGTTTAGATATTCAAAGTTTGGCTTTTCTTTCTCTCCTTCGTCTGAACAATTGGCTGTCAACCGCGGTGTTGCTTTTAACCCTAACTCCACATTGTAGAACTGGCCTAGGATTCGTCTACATTCCGTGGTGATCTCATGTCTTCGTGCTACTCACAAAGTATAACAGTGAAATAAGGATAATGTTTTAAAATATATTGCTAACCAGAAAACGTTTTCATCTTATCACTAACTTCAAGATCCGAGTTGAAATAAAAAATGAGACGTAAAGAATTCAAAAGCATGAACTTGAGATTAAATAAAAAGGAATAACATTTTAAAAGCAACACATGTTATCTGCTGTATACTATATAGCAAAAATTAAAATTTACTTTATCTGAATATTTTATTTTATAAACTGAATATTATGAGTGAAAAATCATTAAATATTCAAGACTAAATGGAAAAAGTCAGAAAATGTTCTAACGAGAATGTCATTTTTCTATATTTTCCGTTTCTGAATGTGAAAAATCATGACTGAGTTGCTCAACTGTCCCATCGCCTCCACTTCCATGCCTGCAGAGCCACGGGAAAAAAGGATGCCATCCGTTCGTCACTTGTTTCCAATCACCACATGTCTGCTCTGTGCGCCTTAACGACATGAGTGACTAAATCCCAGCGATTCTACAAGATGCAGCGTAAATCAGAACATTAGCCACCACCAGCACTTCGGCGCTAAGCTGGAGGCAAAGGCGGAGGAAGAGGACGGGCAGAGTCGGTCCAATACGTGCCTTGGAAACCGAACGAGACCACCATCACATGCAAGACCGTTCGGCGGACACACGTCGAGACAAGGAGCGTAGAGGAGCCCCGTGCAAGAATACGGCCTACGCAGCCGGCGCTGGAGTAGGAGTGTGAAGTAAGTTCACGGCGAGCAGTTCCGGCCTAAAATACCGGCGCAGGAGGACTCCTTTAGCTTGGGTTTAAGCTTAAGCAAAGCAAAGCAATGACTCAACGATTTAGACTTGAAATCGAGTTTGCTTGTCCAGTAGCGATACATATAAAAGTAGAACCTGTCTAAACTAATACTGCTGGGACCGGAAGGTCAGTATTAGATTAGGGAGGTTAGTAGTGAATGAATGTCGGATATAACCGGCTCCTTCTACGTTGGGACCGAACGTTTGTATTAGATTATAGAGGTTATTAGTTTAGACAGGTTCTACTATTTCTTCACCGAGCGGCTGTGATATACTTAGGCACGAAGAGCTTAGCCGAGAAAATAAATGCTTGGGAGGCGAAATTATTCTCAAGCACGGAACAGCGGAACGAAGGAAAAGTGTAACCCAAAGTGGGCGTATAAAAATAATCCGAATCTTATAAGAAGAGGATGCTTTGTAGATAGATAGATAGATAGACGGCCGAGAGGCGGAAAATAATCGGCATCAGAAAAATCTGATCATGCTTTGATGTAGCCCATGCCATGCCTGGAACATGCTCGAAGGCTGCAGCGGGCGAAAAGACGAAGGCGTCTCATGGAGGGAGAGAGTGGGGAGGACACGATACTATAGAGAGCAAAGTGTGGCGAATGTTGCCGAAAGCATGTGATGGGTTTCGAGAATGGGTGCTCGAGGCGAGAGGAGGGCCTTGGTTGCAGTGCAGAGCTTGGATGGATAGATGGATTGATAGATTGATAGATAGATGGACCTGAAGAACAGCAAGAAAATGGAAATGGAAGCGACAAGCGTGGAAAGCGTCGGATGCTGTGGAATGTGCTGCGGAATGCTGGAGCAAGAAAAAGATAGCGTGCACCGCCCAGGCCCAGGCATGAACGTAGGCATGGAGTGGTTATGGAACTAGCGAGCAAGAAAGGCTACAGCAATTCGAAGCACGAAAAAGTGATTGTCCTGTGGCTGCTGCTGCTGCTGCTGCTGTCGAGGAGTGCTATAGACGGCTCTCGTGGAGGTGTCGTCTTCAGGCATTGAAAATAGAAGAGACCGGCCGTTGCTCCTGTCATTTCCAGAGAGCACGAGAGAGAGAGAGAGAGAGAGGGAGGGAGGTACGCAGCAGCAGAAGGCGCTTGTCATTTGGCAGGACGACGGTGGCTGGGCAGGCAAGGGCAAGGGACGTACGGGCAGGGGGGAGGGGGAGGGGGAGGGATCGGGTAGAGTATTATCCGACGGAGGCACGAGGCTTTTGACTGGTAGGCAGCGTCGGAGAGAGGCCCAATTGGGTCGAGGACGAGAGAGGTCGCGAAAATGATTGAGTTCCGGCCGGAGAGAGGGTGGCTCGGATGGCTGGCCGATGGGGTCAGAGGATGCTGCAGCACCTGCCTGATTCTGGCCTTCGTCTTGGTGTTGGGCTGCTTCGGGTATTTGTGATCCAATTGGCGAATCTTGATCGCTCGCGCGAGAGGTAGAGAGGCAGAGAAGCAGAGAGAGAGAGAGAGGAGGGAGAGGAAGAGGAGAAAGCGAGCGAGGCGTGGAATATGTCGCTCGCATTGTCACGAGCAGTGTCATCGTCGTCGTCGTTGTTGTCGTCTCCGTCGCTCTTGTTCGAAAGCAAGTCCAATTTTGCTGCGGGCGGTGCGAGAATCGGTCGCAGCAGCGGCAGCATTTTAGCGCAGGTTTCCCCTCTGTCATGTCGCTCTCGGTGCGCAAGCCCACTCGCTGCACGACGGTTCCTGCTGCCTTCCAATACTGCGCGTATCACGCTGTCGTCACACCGGGCCCTGGAGTGTGCTGCAAGCCTCGGGTATGGGCTTAGCGGCTTATGGGGCGAGACGACCAGGAGGAGTACGGGCGGCAGCAGAAGCAGGGGTGGTGAGAGTGGCCGGACGAGGAACAAGAGGAATGTTGCAATCGAAGCGAGCCTGTCTGAAGGCGCCAAGGTCATAATGGACGGGATTCAATGGGGCTGGACTGCCGACCCGCCCACTTGGGATGCTGCTTTCATCGCGATTGGTACAATTTTCGTTCTGGCTGCTCCCCTTCTGTGGGTGGGACTCACGGTGCCAGGAATGTTCAGTGCCTACATTCTTGGCTCAATCATATGGCGAGCATATGGAGGACAGGGTCTTTTGACGATCGTCCTCTTCTACATCATCGTACGTATGCTGCCTTGCAAACTTTTCGACTTTTACCTGCCTGTAAATATGCGAGAAATATTTCTTGGGTGTTGGTCGAATGGGACGATGGCTTCATGGATCTAGGCGGGAAAGAGTGTGGACCGCAGTGAATTGTTGTGCTCGATCGTTGAGATTCTTCACCGTTTTTAAGTCCTCTCTGGACGTTCGACATAACGAACTCTTGAAGTGGAATTTCGATCCAACTATTTTGGAGTAAATTCAGCTTGTAAATTCAACGATAATGAAGTCACAATTCAGAGGCTACGCTGAAAGACGAGTTTTCCTTGAGCGATCCCCTCATTTTACCTCAAACCTTGTCGACTTTCCCGACATGTTGAGATTGTCGAAGGAACTGCGCGGAGATAGATCTGAAGAATGTCATTCCGATTGGATTTCGTCTCTTGTCTGGTTGCCGGGGTTGTGTTGCGGAATCTTGCTGCACTATTTCTCTATTAGGATGCACGCCAAAGTGTGCATTCGCCCTTCTTGTTGCTACTGGAAGTGGGAGGTTGGTTCAACTTGAACACAGGGATTCGTTGTATTCAGTTTTTGTTTGGTTCACGACGAAACCTGCACAAAGTTTTGTGATCGGAACTGGGTTTGAAGATGTGGAAGTACGTCCTAAGATTAACATGTGATACTGTACAGGGAACAGGCGCAACCAAGCTTAAATTGAAGCAGAAGCAGAAAGAGGGAATTGCCGAACAAAGGAGTGGTAGGAGAGGACCTGGCAGCGTGTGGGGTTCTGGCACAGCAGGGGCCTTGTGTGCTCTATGTACCATTTTTGCAGTGGGTGGTCCAGAAATTGCTCCTTTGTGGCAATTAGGATACCTGGCTAGTTTGTGTACGAAATTGAGTGATACCATTTCAAGCGAAATTGGAAAAGCTTATGGCAAAACGACGTAAATTTCATTCCCTTCAAGATTTCTCTTATCTTGATGATCTACTACTAAGATTTCCCTTCTACATGTGTCGTTTAATAATCAATTGCTATATACTTACAGTTCGCTGCTTGCATTCTTCCTACAAGTTGGGTTTTTACATCAGCAAAGTTTGTTTATCACAAGAATTATTAATTTGTACAAGAATGTAACAAATTAATGTTAAAGAACTTCAGAGAATTCATTTGAAAACGTTGATTGCAACACAGTAATTTCGCTGTAGTCAGAAACACCAACCCATGTTTGATTACGTGCAGATACCTTGTGACGTCTTTCTCTATCGTACCCCGAGGTACAGAAGGTGCGGTTAGTCTGGAGGGCACTCTTGCTGGTCTCTTCGCTGCCGTATTCCTGGCTGCAGCCTCGTATGCTCTGAATCAGGTTTGTGAGTGCTGCAATAGTTACCCGATAACTCCTACTTTACCCGATGATTTGGATTTGTTTTTTCTTTCGAAAATGAATTCATGCTCAGGACCCATCTAGTCTAATGAAACCAGAGGGATTGCAGGTTGACGCCACGGGCGCAATTATTGCCATCCTGGCTTCGCAGATTGCTAACCTTTTCGAGAGTGTATTGGGGGCTACTCTGCAAGGTCGAGCCGGCTTTGAGTGGGTAAGTTCCTTGTGAAATGTGTTGCCTTTCCACCGTCCGAGAACCGTGGTGAGGGGAAGGTTTTTTTTTTGGTTGTTTTTGTATTCGACACATTACAGAGTAGACGATGCAGTTCGATTGATAAGAACGGAGTGTGATTTTAGTTCGGTTTCAGCGTATTTGTTTGCAAGGAATATATTTTGATTGACATAAGCCGCTTAGTCTTAAGGCTACCATGCAAACCAGTAGTTAGTGTGGATAACGTGAATTATCCACACTAACTACTTGGGACTCTCTACGTCTGTGAGCAATTTGCCAATTTTGTTCCTGTTCGGAATCGCAGCTGTCTAACGATCTGGTGAACGTGGCCAACATTACAATCGGAGCGACCGTGGCTATCTTCGCTCAAAAACTTCTTTCAGGCTGATCTTATAGCCTTAAAAGAAGTACGAGTCTCGTAGCGTCAATCGATGGTGCTGATAGGATATTCCAAGAATGAAGCTCTGAGCTGGTACTTATTAGTCTACACAGACCCATTAGCAAAGCTTCCTCAGGGTGTTTGTAGATTAAAATCACTCTGCTATGTAGTACAAGCTCTAGTCAAATGAATTTAGCAGATTAAGTGCCTAATGACTGGAAATGACCGATTTTGTACTCGCATTTGAAAGATATTTTATATTCTAGCAGGGATGTCGATTTCCCGTTGTCAGAAAACTGATGAGAGTGTACTTGGTGTTTCACAGGTCGTAGAAGAATTCGATGGGTTTGTACAAAGTAATAAGAAATTGGGTTTAGAATAAGTGTGTACTGTTTGTACAGTTGACGCTTCACGGAGTCTCTGTATATATTGACAGATCGTTACAATCCGAACTAGTTCTGGCCATTTTTCTCGCTGTGGACCTCATAGAGCTCGCCATAACCTGTTGAAAGCTGGATTGAAGGAAAACTGCATGCGTGTGCTAGATGGACGGAAATAGTTTGTGGTTCTTTTATTAAGAGTTGTAACAGTAACGAAGAATGTCATCGGCAACGAGCTAGTGATTTGTGATACTAGGATAGCATCTAGTGTTCAGTAGTACTGTATCGGGATAAAATACACAAATAACAATCTTCTACAATGTGCGAATTCTAACACCTCTGTTTTGTTGTCATTTATTTAATATTCAAAATAAGAGAGCTAAAAGGATACCTCCTCATCCTCCTACAAAACACACATCTTTGTACACTTCAATAAATACAGCGATTAGTGGTCAGATAGATGAATGTATGTGATGCTTTTACCTCGCCATTTGTAGAAGTTGTGCCCCAACAATTTACACGTCCTCACCAAGCCATCGTTTGACAAATGTTTTTATCAGTACCTTGAATTGATATTCATATGGACTAATTGAAATGATAAAGTAACTGTGAGTCCGAGTTTAGAAAAATATTTACGAAAGAGACCCAACGTGGAGTGCACGAAGGCCAGAAATAATATGGAAATAACATCACGCAACTAAAATAAAACTATTGCTTGAAACGACGGCATATCGTTATTCTTGTCAGTTGATAAATCCATTTGCCTGTCCTGTAGATGGACTCACCCAAACCTATTCAAACAATGGCTGACTTGAATGGGGTTAATCCCGAGGATCCTTACTCCCGAAGTTTTCACCTCCCATTGACATTAGACAGACGAAGTCAGTACTCTCGTAGCTTTCAACTGTATATGCTATGCATATACTAGCGGTAGTATATGCATAGCATGTACAGTAGCTGCAGTCTAGTTTTGGGGTTGCGCACTATAAATCACACCAGATGCACGACTCTACTTTGTCTTACATTTTGTTTATTGCTTGGAGTGATAACAGAAGCATTTGGACGGTCACCGAGTTACATAACATTAGTTTTGGTCTCTGAATTTCGAAATTGTTCCTTGGGTTACAATTTTAATATCACGAGTTAATACATTCTTACAGTTTTTTATTGCAAATTTTATGCAAAAATTTTAACAATTTTTTAATAGTTTATTTTAATTTATTTTTCACAAATTCTAATATGAAAATATTTATTTTTACTCTAAAATAATAATGAAAATATTAATATGATCAAAATTATGTCAAAAAAAGTCACTAATACACAGAACAACAAGCAAGTTATTACATTAATAATAAATTTTTTAAAAAATGAACGGTTAGTTATTTCTCACTTTGGGCCAATCATCCCTCACACTACTATATGATATTCCATGATTGATAGAAGGTTATAGCTGCCAGTGGAGTGAATTTATGATTCTACCGGTTGTTCTTTGTGTTACTCTCTACGTTAAAGGTGGCGGGCGTGAGTTACGTTAGTGGAGGGCTCGTCTCAAGCGAGACCTCCACTGTGCATCGCGACGGCTCATCATCTGCACCATGGTATCCCCGCTACACCGCCAATCGCCTGATTTCTTGTGTGTAGAGAACATCATGGTGGTGTCCGCTTGTGAAATCAAGAGGAGACGGTGTGTTCAATGATTTTTGATGAGTCGGGAGGAGATGATAGATGAAAGGGAGAGTGCCAGAGTCCAAGCTATCCCGTTTTTCAAGGAAGACAACAGATAACAATGCTATATCGCATTCCGGGACCAACAATCCAAGGAAAAAGAGTTTCGACGGCTCGGGCTTTTCAAACCTCTAGCTTTAATGAGACAAATTTCTTTTTGTTCGTCCAGCAAAGGAGTGAGTGATGCATTTTTCCAGCACATGCTCTTATCGTGAAACTTGAGGCTGGATAGAGTTCAACGACGTTCGTTTGATGATAATTTCATTTGCATCATAAACATAATTGTCATTGAAAAGATTATTCAACTCTTTTTTCCTATTGTTAATAACATTGTTGAATAAAACATGCAATAGTGTTTTATAGTTGTCATGCTTTTTCTTAACTTCAACTTCGTCATGATCTTTTTGTCTTGAAATACTCATAAATCTAGTCTTGTATATCTTGTTCCGCTATTTGATTGCTTTTGAAACCTTTCACAGTTACTATTCAACGCTGTGTATAATAAAATTGATAATCAAAATAATAATGGCAATTTCTACTTTTGTTAGTAAAAAAATTCTGATTTAATTATAGCTGACAATCGTTTCATCACAATGAAATAATAGAAGCTTCAAGATGAAGTAAAATAGATTAAAAAATTAATACAATAGCACATTATGTTTTCAATCCATGTTTATGAAGTTGTATAATCTTGATGTAAAACTTAAAATTGAACAAAATTATTAAGTGTTTGAGCTAATTTTCTACGCAATATTGATCTTTATTTTCAATAAGAAGATAAATTACAAAAAATAATTATGATATATCTGTTACAATTCATCATAAATTTTAACACAGTCTTCATATCTTTGTTTGATGATTCAAAAGTGTAAATATGACACAACTATATTTTAGTTTTTTTCTTGCATATCATTTAATTGATTTGAGATCAAATCAATTTTATGTCAAAATCATAAGTTTTAAAGAGTGGTTTTAACTCAGTTTATTAGAACTTTTTTAAATATGTTAAACTAAAAATTATTAATATTTAAATTTTAAAATCTAATTTTACGTATCTCTATGATTATCTTGTTTTGTATAATTGATCTATATTTAAAGAAATAAATTAAAATTAAAAATGATTTTTAAAAATCTGATTTAAAATTTATATATTGGTACAATCTTTAAGGTCTTAAATATTATAAATAAAGAAATACGCTATTTATCAACTGTTTCATATTCAAACTTAAGTTTGAAGCAAGTTTTTTATAAATTTTTCAAATCAACTCTAATAAATTTGAATTGAAATCTCATATTATTCAAAGTCAAGGTTCAATGACTTGCTATAAGCTCAAAAAGCAGAGTGACACAAAAGTTATACTGTTGCCTTAAACAAATTTTTATTTAATAAATCTTGATAGATTTAGTTGTATAAAGATTATCATATACATGCGCGAATGATCCATATATTGAATATTTATTAGACATCATTATAAAAATCGGTATATTGAATCAAATAAATTCAATCAAATACATGCTTTAATGATTCAAATCTAAAGATATTCATTAGACATCACTATAAAAGTATGATGTAGCAATTGTGAGAAGATTCAAATATAATCTGCAATTGGATTATATTGTTATTCTCTTCACATATTGTTTATCACAACATTTAGAGTTTGATGTGAGTGCCTCATAGTGACATAGGTACATTTCAAGAAAAAAGATTTGCTCTAATAACAATTGCAGATAATCGACAGTAGACAAATAAAATAATGAAATCCATGATGATACAAAACTTAAACACACAGATTTTTTAAAAAATATGTTGTTTTTGTATAGGATATTGTTTGAGTATACATGATATTGTACTTAAAACTTTAAAGTATGTGAGACTTAGAGTTTTGATTGATTGTGCTTTAAAGTGAAATGCTATCTAGATCAATTAACCTTGTTCAAGCGAGTTAAAATTAAATCTTAATTTGATTTCCAAAAATATTGATCAATTTCCGTTATTAAGATAAAAATAAAAATAATATAATTGCAAAAAAATCAACAATTTTGACAATTTAATCACATTAATCCAAAATGCATGCAATTTGGATCGATCATAATTAAAAATTAAAATTTTTTATGCATGACATAACTTTTTTTTTTAAAACTAGAGTATTCCATGCTTTTTACATGCTTGTACATTCAATCTTTAATAAAACTCTATTGCTTTATGAATGCTAAGTAGTTTTACTTTATCAATCTACTTCAATAAATTACATAGATAATTCCTACAGGTATGATAATAATTTAATTTTTTATATGATGAAATTTTTGTTTGTTCTTTTCTCATTAGTGTTTGTGAAATTACAAATATAAAAAACTGTTCTAAAGCTAAAGCTTGTGCATTCTTTGAAGAAAATCAAATTAATTTATGTCCATCAATGAGAAACATTTTATCCTTTAGCCTGATATGCTAAAGATTTCTAAGTGTCATAAATATTTGCAAAACAAAGTCACTAATTGTGTTCACCTCATTTTATAATTATTTTTATTTTTTCAAACTCTTCATATGCTTTTGATCTTCTCTCAATTCAAAAAATTGTAGAATAAGTTCTAATACTAGAAGATTGTATATATAAAAGTGGGAACTGCATATGATAAATTACTAGAAAAACTGTGCATTTTGACAGAAATATGAAGTGTTGTTTTCTCCAAGAAGCATTAATGAATTGACCTTTATCTTGATATCAGGCTTGTATTTAATGCCCATAGCATCTAAATCAACTCTTTGTGTTCACCTTCACTCTTACTCGGGTAGAATAAAATTTTGTTGGAAACTCTTCATCCTTAAATTAAGGAAATCTTGTGAGGTCTCGGAGACCTTACAATTACAACTAGAGAAATGGTGATACATTTAAAAAACTTTTCAAACTCGCTTCATAATAAAGGCAGATATAGCGTCTTCCCATCTGATGGAAGTGACCAAAATTGGCTGTTTTTTTTGGGTGAAGCAATTGGTGAGTTTATTCCACTGCAAAAAGAATCAAATACACCACCGCACAGCCGAGCAAACACAAGGTCAATTGGCAAAACCTCCAAGGACTACATATTTATGATTTTCAAAGAACATACATACGGAAACTATGCACTGACATGAGAGACACTCTAAGTGGGGGTGGGGCCAGGCATAACAGGCCGCTGAAAGTTCCACCAAGTCTCCCTTGCCCGTCACGAGAAGAACAAACCCTCATGGTCCCAATGCGTGGAGATTGGCGTCGCGCACATTCCACGCTTGTGACTTGGTGGCGCTCGCTTCAGAGCACTTTGGCACAAGCTGTACGAGTCAAATCCAATAACGCATCCCACAGTGTTTGTTCAAGCAGAGTTGAGGGCCATGTGTGATCACAGAACATATGATGATTCTGTTGCAACCAAATAATCCAGAGTGCAGCGCATCGCATCAACGACCAAGTCGAGAGAAAATCCTGCAAGGGGATGATATTGATGAATATCATCCCCAAAAATGCATTGCTGCCATGATAATTCTGTCACTAAGAATGTCTGGGAGAATGCTGCCCATGCCTTTGCAACATTGCATGAAGTATGTGAGTCATATATGACCAAGCTGCTGTGGCCTTGGCACATGAGAAGAAACGGTGAAGAATTGTTTCTGGTTCATGTAGATCGCAGCGTGGGCATGCATCGAAAATTGTGGGCACTTCGCGGTGTCGCCACT